GATTGAGAGAAAATAATTCTCTCATTGACTGAGTTACTCAGATATGACAGTACTGCCTCACTGATGAAGAGACAGTAATAGAGAAATCTGAAAAGTATCATTGAAAGAATCTTGAGAAAAAGAAAGAGTTAATATACTGTATAGCAGAAGATTGAAGCTTGAGAACAGATGAAGAAGTTATTACTTTTACCGCAAGATTAGCAGCAGTATCTGTCATTGAAGATGAATGTACACAATGTCTCTTTACAGATTATAAGAATATCTTTTCAGAAAGAGAAGCAGTGAAGTTTTCTGATATCAAGATATGATATAAGATTTGTCTTGAAGATAGTGTAACAGTGCTGTACAGATCTCTTTACAACTTGTCTATAAAGAAATTGAATATTCTGCACAAATATCTTGAGAAAGTGCAATTGAAGAACTGAATATATTCATTAAAAAGTTCAGCAGAGACATCTATACTCTTTATACTCAAGAAGAATGATAGACTATATCTATACATAGACTACAGAGGTCTCAATAAGATGATAGTTAAGAATCACTATTCATTATCATTAATTAATGAGATGATCAATTGATTATCTGAAGCAAAGATGTTCTCAAAGATTGATATATAAGATATCTATTATAGAATCAGAGTTAACAAAGACAATATTTGAAAAACAGCTTTTTATATCAAGTACAACAATTTTAAATATCTTGTTTTATCTTTTGATCTTTGTAACACTTCAGTCATCTTTCAGATCTATATAAATGAGATGTTACAGAGCCTTGTTAATATCTTCTATATAATATACTTGAATAATATTCTAATCTTCTTGAAAACAGAGAAAGAACATGATACTTATATTCAAGAAGTGTTGAGTTACTTGAGATAGTATTAACTCTATATAAACACTGAAAAATGCTCATTCTACATGTAGGATATTGATTTCTTAGATTATATTATTGAAGTGAATAGCATTTCAATGAACAGAAGCTGAGTCTTTACTATTAAGAACTGGCTGACACTGCGGATGTATTATAAGATGCAGATATTTCTAGAATTTATGAATTTCTACAGACAATTCATCTATGTATATTCACAGATTACTGCCCTTCTTACAGATCTGTTAAAGAGAAGTGTGAAAGACAGAAAAATAGAACTGTTTATTCTTACTCAAGACACTGTGCAGATGTTTATAGAATTGAAATAAGCTTTTACAGATATTATAATACTGAATCACTTTAATCTCAACTTACTCAGTCAGTGTGAGACAGATGCATCTGAGAATGAAGTCTGTGAAATCTTTTCACAGTTGACACTGAAGATCTTTCAATATTAAAAGAATCAGAGAATAATTATTTCTGAGAATATAGATAATAAAATGTCTGTGAGAGAAGACTTTTTTATAAAGTCTATAAGACACTGTGAATAAAGATCAGTGATTTTCTTCTTCAAGAAGTTATTACTCATGTAGAGAAGGTATAGTACTTATAATCAAGAGATGTTAGTAATTGTTGAATTCTTTAAGATCTGATAATATTATCTTCAGAGTAGTAAGTACTCAGTGCAAGTTCTCACTGATTATGTAAATCTGTATTACTTCTTAATAACAAAGAGCTTGATAGAATGTCAAGTCAGATGAGCAGAGCTGCTTTTGAAGTATGATTTCTATATCTGATACTGTTCAGATTGACTTAATCTCACTGATATACTATCTAGACAGTCTGATTATAATATCATTAATGCAGAGAAGAATTCTACAAAAGAACCTCTATTATCACTGCTGAAGAAGCTGACTGCAGAGAGTTGAAGTTCTCTAAAGCTTAGAAATAGTGCTGGTAAGATAGCTGTATAACTCAGTATAGAAGATAAAAGAAAACTTAGATTCTCACAGAAAACTAACACTGAAGATCATGAGCTTCTTATATTATATTTTACTATCATTGAATTGATAAAGAATAAAACAGTTCACAATCTTTCAATCTGACTACTTTTGAAATTCATTAATAAGTTATAGAAGAGAAATGTCTCTACTACAGCTTAAATTCAGAAGTTGAAGAAGAAAGAATCTGATTTAAGAGACAGACTCTGAGCAGAGTGATACTGCTAAGAAATCAAGTCACTGATAACTAGAAGAATATGAACTTCTACTGCTGAATAATTCAGTCTTCATTTCTTATAGCAGAACAGTGTATCAGAAGTTATTGAGAATTCATTATAATAATTCTTATACAGAGTACTTTAGATTAGAGAAGACTGAGAAGCTTCTAAAATATAAATACATTTAAAACAAGCTTCAGACAGATGTCAAAGAGTATATTAAGACTTATAATATCTGTCAAAGAATAAAGATCTTACAGTACAAGTAATATAATAAGTTAATATCACTGCCTGTTTCAAAGAGCTTATGATAGAATCTATCAATGAATTTCATAGTTGATCTACTGAAGTTGACAAGAGTTAAAGAATATGACTCAATTTTAGTCATTATTAATTACTTTATAAAGATAGTTAAATATATCTCTACTTATAAAAAGATTAAAGCCTCTGAATTGACTGATTTGTTTTTAGATATTATCATTTATGATCACAGTGCTCTGAAATTATTAATAACAGATCAAGAATTTCTCTTCATCAGCAAATACTAGTTAGCTTTTTACTATTATTTTATAATAAGATATCTTCTCAGTACTGCATTTCATCTGTAGACAGATGATCAGACTGAATATCAGAATCAGACACTAGAACAGCATCTTCAAGTATTCTGTTCATATTATCAAAATGATTAGCTCAAACATCTTCTAATTACTGAATTTGTATATAACAATGTAAAGAATGCAATCTTAAAGATATCTTCTTTCTATACTTATTATGAATATAATTCTTCATTACTCAGTGACATTGCAGACAACATTTTAAAGAGAGAGATAGACAGTTAGAATGTTAAATAGATACAGAGAACAGAGTACTTCTCAGTATCAGAAGTAAAAGTAAGATTAAAACTTTTGAATAAAATTCATAAGAAGATAGTGAAAAGCATTCATTACATTCAGAAGTAGCAGATGAAATACTATAATTAAAAACATCTTTCAATGAAGTTCTTAATAGAGAATTAAGTGCTACTTTTAGCAAAGAATATTAAGATAATAAGACTGTGTAAGAAGCTCAGTGAGTAATGACTAGAATCTTTCTCAGTAACAAGAGTAATGAGTAAGTAAATATATAAGTTGAAATTATTCACAGAATTGAAATCAATTTATTCTGTTTTTTATATTTTCTATTTAAAGCTCTATAAGTAACACTCTGAGATGAAGCTGTCTCAGCTGAATGATATTAAGATTGAAAGTGATATTGAATATCTTATGAAGAAAATATTGAACAAGTGAATATATTATAATAAGCTTTAATATCTCATTAAATAAGAAGATTATTCATTGTCAGAGAATTTATGAAAACTACTTAAGCATTTGAAAAATACTGAGAAAGAGATTGTAAGCTATAAGATAACTAGTAGAGATCACTCTGTTACATGCCAGAGATATTAAATAAGAAATACTGCTTAAGACTTCTCATTTTTTCTCAAAGAGTTTTTTTAGAGATAATCTTATAATGATGAGTCAGTATCTTATAAGCTCTGTAGCACTCTTCTTCTATTTTCTCTCAAAGAGTTTTTTAGAAGTTTAATAAGACTACACAAGTGTAAAATTTCTGAGACAGTTAGAGAAAAGAAATATTTGAAATTAATAAAAAGATTAATATTATTAATCTATAAGCTGCTGCTATTCTAATGAGGCTGCAGCCTGTTAAAAAAGTAAAAAGAGAGAATCTCAGACTCTACTCATTAATAACTACATTCTTATCAAACTCATTCTTCACTGTTGAAGTCTCTAACTGTAAGAATAAGTGCTCGCAGGCGATTATTCGGGTGTTTGCAGCTTGACGTGATATGTACTGTTAACTACTAGAAGTGTTTGTGGTAGAAAGATAAATGTAGAGATCAAATATATAATAGCATTCAAGCTGAGTTGCAAATAGTATTTGTGAACTCCAGTCTATATAGTTGTGTATAGCCAAGGGCCGCTAGCCCTATTGATTATATGAGAGATAGGAATAGAGATAAAGAATTCACAAGAAGCAGGATTTCTTACATATCTCTCTCTCTCTAAGGCTTCATCTGCAAAGCCTTTCACTGAGTGACTTCATAGTCAGCTCAGCACTGCAGTGATACTCACTAAAAACTCTTCACATCTATAAAAAACCTCAGTGAGGAAAAATCCCTTGTTATCATAAAGAGAAAAGAGTCTGTCACTCAGTTTCTTATTTCACAAGGTTCTTTGTGATTTACAGATTCTTCTCTGACTATTATACAGATTCATCTCACATCTTTCATACAGAAGAGTTTCAGTTGACTCTCAATCATTTTCATGAGATTCTTGTGTGATCATCACACAGATTCATCTCACAGGTGAATCACTCTCTATGAGATCACTCTTATCAAAGAGAAACATTCATGAGTTGATCTTTCATTCATTCTCATAAATCATTGCTCTTTGACACTGTAGAATTGTGAGGAATTTTCTATTCTTTCATTAACTCTGTAGAATTGTAGAATCAAGATATTCATAGTCTGTAATCACTCTTTATAGTCATATAGAAAGATTCAGGCCTGTGATTCACAATCACTCTTGTTTACTAGAGTGATCTGACTGTTTCACAGAATCACTCACAGTGTAAGCAAATCTCTCTAGAGTAGTATAAATATCTCAGATCTGTCTGTGAAATCTCATCTTCTTTTCTCTTTTTCTATAACAGCTCTTATTTTCATAAACTGTGAGTATTCTCATTCATCTGTGAAGTGTTTTCATTCAGATGATAGAGAAAGAGTGTTTCTGACAATATTCACATATTGATTCAAGAACTTCTCAAGAATAAAAATTTTTTCAATTTCAATATCTTTATAAACAATGTCTGGCTGCTGCTGAGCTTCTCATGAGTGTCTCTGTGACTTCTCTGATCACTTTTTGCCAGCTGGTGAAGCAGGGGTGCTATCATTCACAACTGTATCTTCATTCTCTTCAGCTCTGTCACTGCATCTGATCTTCAGATCAGCAGCCCATCTCATCTCTTTCTCAGGCCAGCTCCTGGCTTTAAGCAGCACAGTTCTCTTCTTTGCTGTAAGTCTTCTCATAAGTAATTCCTTACAGATTCTAGCTGACAGTTCTTGTAAAGCTTCTGATGTTGCCAGTGTCTCCTGCAGCCCTGTGAGTCTATGATCATCTTCTCTCTGCCCACACAATCTCTGACCAGGCATATGCAAATATGCCTAGGTTCTCTATCAATGATCCTCGCGCCGCGGCACATTTCCGCAATCTCATTGTCAATGAGAGATAAGTCTCTGAGTACTCACAAAATCCAGGTAATCAAGGCAATGTGAATGCTATGAATTTATGACAGAAGTTGATCTGAGCAGATGAGTTCTCTCTTCATATTCTCATTATTTTCAGGCTGAATACTTCAGTACAACTGAAAGAGCAGACACAGCTTTATGAGAGATATCTGATCACATGCACAGATAGCTAGTCTTCAAGACTCTGCTACAACTGCATATACTCTGGTGTCTGACTTCTCTGAAGTCTGTGTATTTCTAACAGTCTTCATATCAAATACAACAATTGTCTGTATCACAGATATGATACTTTCTACTTCTTTAAAGAGAGAAATTGATAGTTATGAGAAGATTGAGTGTTACAGATATTAATGATGTGAGTGTGAGTTTTCTTTATTTTTTCTTTATTAATCTCTAAATTGCATTCATGATCCTGTTTATTTTCTTGTTTTTTAGCTTTAATGAGAGTATGTTTTCTTCTTCTCTTGTATACACTGCAGACTGTTCATCTCAGTAGAAACTCATTATCTTATAGACTAGGGTTTATAAATAACAGTGTTAATGTCTTTATTACAACCAGGTTCTTAGTGAAGATCACATTATTCTGACTTATCAGAATTCACAGTATGAAAGTCATGTCTCAGCTTCTGCAGATGTCTTATCTGCTCAGATGATTCTTAAGTAAACTCATTCATCTTATCAGAATACTCTTATCACTGAATCTTGAATCAGAGCTTGTAATCTTGCTTCTCTGAGTTAACAATTTCTTTAATCTGATATTCTCTTTCACTCTCTAGTGCTTCATGAACAGAGTGATGAGTCACAGAGTTCTCTTCTAAGAATTCCTTATATTCATGAAGTAAAGAGATATAAAAAACATTATATATCTGCAATTCAGATGACAGTTTCAATCTGTAGAACTGTAAGCTAACTTTCTTTATAATCTTGTAAGACTCTGTTCACAAGAGATTCAGCTTCTTACTAGATCTCTATATAATGATGTTTTCTAGACTCAGTCAGACTCTATCATCTTTCTTGAAACTCTTCATAATATGCTTGAAGTCATAGTATCTCTTCTGATACTCTTGAGCCTTTCTCAAGAATTCACAGGCTTTCTCTCAGATCTTCTGAATTCTCTCAGCCTGTTCACAGGCATCATCACACTCTATAGTGTACTCTTGCAAGTTCATCAAGATTATTCATGAATAAGTCTTAGTAAGCATTTCAAAGAGGGTTTTATCTGTGCTGACATGCTTTGAGTTATTGTACACAAACTCTGTGAGTGATAATCAATACACTCAGTCATTCTGATTGTAATTAACAAAGCACTGCAGATACTGTTTTAATATACTCATCAGATGTTCTATCTGATCATCTATCTATTAATGAAAAGCTGTGCTTAGATCTTGTGAGATCTTCAGTATAGTTATCAGATCAGATCAGAACTCTTCTGTGAAGATTGATTCTCTATCTGAGACAATGTTCATAGATAATTCATGCAACTGAATCACATTGCAGATGAAGATATAAGTCAAATCCTTTAACTTCAAGTTCTTATGAGTGAGTATAAAGTGTGTCATCTTAATGAAGTGATTCACTATCATCAGCACACTGTCAAAACAGGTATCATATATGTTCTTGCTTTCAGAGAGACTTATAAGAGTATTCATTTCTAGCTGTTCTCAAGATTTCTATGAGATGAATAGAGAAGTAAGTTCTTTATATAATCTGAACTGTACTACTCATGAACTCTGATAAACAGCACAAGAATTCACTATCTTCTTCAAAAGTTCTCACATCTTCAGTCAGAAGTATTTTCTTACAAGCAACTCATGAGTTCTAGTATCTGTAAAATGATCTGCTAGAGAGAAGTCATGATGCCTTTTAATAAGTTCTATATATAGAAACTCATTCACAGGCACATAAATCCAGTCCTCTCTTTATAAGAGAGTATTTAAGTCTCTTCAATTCTTTGTTTCTGCAGGATTGATCTCTGCTGTAAGCAGTTTCTGAATATACTGAGCATATTCATTCTTCAGTTACAGTTCAGACAATCTGAATAGAAGATCTTGTGAAGACTTATACTCTGTTTCCTCTTGCATCAGGTCTTCTGCAGTGCTTCTCAAAGTCTGCAAACTCTTCAGATTATAGATATTCTCTTCAAGAATCCTCACAGAGATCTTCAGAGTGTTGACTCTCAGTGTTGCAGAGAGTAGTTGCACAGGCTTCTTCCCTCTCTCTTCTCTCTTCTCTTATAAGAGATTGAGAGACTCTTCAGTCAATCTCTTCATAATACTCAGTTCAAGCATTCTGTGAAGCTTTTCTGTCTTCTCTAGCTTCTCTGTGTCTGTCATTCTGATCTTCTTAACATAGTCTGACCTGTAAGAGAGTTCATTCACTGAGTTCTTAGTTCTCTTGATATGTTCTATCTTGAATCAGAACTCACTCAGTCTCTGAGCTCAGTGAACCTGTCACTGCAAGAGTTTCTTGATTGAAGCAAATTATTATAAGCTGTCATGATCAGTTCTAACAGTAATTGCTATTACAAGGCTCTTGAAGTAGTGATATCAGTGATAGAAGAATTCCACTATCATAAGAAGCTTCTGATTATGAATGTCATAGTTGATCTTCACAGATTGCATCTTTCATAAGAAAAAGATCACTGAAACTTAGTTCTCATTTGACTGTAGTTATGAGACTATTTCTGAAATCACAAAGAAGAAGATATCTGTCTTCAATCTGATTAAGAGTAAGAGATTAAAGTGAAACAGCATTACTGCATCTATGAATATCTGTTTCAACCTTGCAAAGACCTCATGAGCTTCTGAGATAAGAAAGTTCTCACAGTTCTCTCTTCTCAACAATCTTTTCATTCTCTATTTGTAGAATGACTTCTTCTTGTTTTCATTCTTCAGCATGTCTGTAAGGGCTAAGAAGATTCTCATGAATGCAAAGATAAACTGTTTATAGAAATTCACAAAGCTCAGAAAGATCTGAATCTCATGAATACTAGTTAACTTCAGTTATAATAGAATAGTCTCAACTTGTGAAGATTTCATCTGAATACTATCTGTGATGATTATATATTCTAGGAAATTAATTCAGCAGGCACTGAAGTTACACTTCATAAGCTTAATATACAGTTCTGTCTCATCTAAGATCTTCAACATGCTTCACACATGCTCAGTGTGTTCTTTCTTCTTCATGAAGTACATCATCACATTATTCAGATATATTATCATGAAGACATTCAGATATGCATGAAGTATTTTATTGATAAAAGACTGAAATGCTGCAGAGACATTAGTCAGATTAAAAGGCATCACTAGATATTCAAACAATTTCAGTGCAGTTCTAAAGACAGTCTTTTATTCATTCTCAGACTGTATTCACAGTCATGTATATGCATTGATCACATTCAGTTGTATGAATATGACAGCTTCTGTGAGATGATTGATCACATTCTCAATCAGAGACAGAGAATAGCAGCTCTTTATTATCTTGAAGTTCAAGTTGCAGTAGTCTACACACAATCTGAGATCTTCATTCTTCTTCTTCATGAACATCACAGAGGCTCTCACAGAGGCCTGTGAAGATCAGATGAAGTCATTCTTCAGATTCTTCTTCACATAGATCTGCAAGACCTCTGTCTTGTGATGAGAGAGCTTATAGATTGATTCTCAGAAGAGTTTCTGCTCTTCTATCAAATCTATTATCAGATTCTTCTCACAGTGAGAAGAAAGCTCAGCTGCCTTAACTGAGCTGAATATCTCTGCAAGATCTCAGTATTTCTCTGATATCTGAAGCTCAGTTTTCATGATTATGAGATTCTCAGTCACTTGCAAAGTCATTATATAGATAGGCTTATCTTCTCTAATTAACTCTGCAGTATTAACTGCTTCTATCTCTGTGAGTGAGTCTGTCAACACTGATTGAAAGTATAAACCTGACTCACAGACAGCTATGTGCGGATTGTGTCTTTGAAGCTATATAAGTCTCAAATACATGTCATCTGTGATATCTGCAACAATCACAGTTTCTGTAAATCTTCTCCAGATTTCAGAGAGATCTTGCAATTTAAAGATGACTCTTATAAGTCTCTCAGCTCTCAGATCTGAGTTCTCATGCCCTGCTTATTGTAAGAGCAGATTCTCAGTCTTCACCTTTCAGCTCATTCACTCTGTGAGCTTTAGAGACATCACAGTGACCTGAGATTCTGAGTTTATCAATACTTCTCATACTTGCAGAGCAGCAGTACTGCAGCACAGTCTCTCTCTGTGAGCAAGCATTTTCATTAGAGAAGCAACAGATTCAGATGTCAGCTTCAAGATTCTTAAGAAGACTGTTACTGACTCTGTCTGTGACTTCTTAAATTTCTATTTTGATTTGTTCAGACAGTTTGCATGAAGATATTCTAGTTTAGAATAGATGAAGCAGAGTCTCTTTTTCTTAATCTCTCTGTTATACACTCTGTTCACAGAAGCTTATGAAGCTCTTTCTCTCTGCTCAGCAGTCAGACATGAATCTCTCTGTATCTTATCATCTTTTTCTGATAAATCTATTCTCTGTTGTTCTGGTCCTTGCAGAACTGATTGATGATTCACTCTTCACAGGTCTGTGACTCTCACAGTGATCTGTAAGTGATGAATGAGAGTCATCAGTTTCTTCAGAATTAAGAGCTTAGAGCCTTGCTCAATGAGCTTATTCTGCATGTCTTTATTCAGTCTCTTTATGAATATCATCATTCAGGTCTTATTTCAGAACTCTGTTTTCACAGATCTTAATTCATATCACAATTTCATGAAGCACTGTGAGTAGTCTTCATCAGATTTCTCATCTCTTTTTCTAATATTAATGATTACAGCTCAGATATTCTCTGTTCAGCTCACAGAGTCTCTCAACTTATTCTCTAGATAGGTCTTGAG